CTTTTCTAGATATCTGAATCCCTACCCTTTATCTAAAATAGCTTACAGATAACTGGTTCAATATTTATTTTTTATTTTAACTAACATTTATTGAATACTCACTATGTTGCATACACTGTTATGCAACGGGGCTACAAAAACTAATAAAACATGGCCCTGGTCTTCAAGGAACACATGATGTTTCCTATCCTTTTCTGTCCTTATCTATTTCATGTTATTTGACCCATTCACTTGCTTTTGACTCTGTTGTATAAACATTAATTGCCATTGAGTTTAAATTTCAAGTGTGTCAAGACATCTTTTGGGGCCTTATAGAAGAATTAACCCATGATTGTGTTCTGAAAGACAGATCGAATCCAGCTCTGTGATCTGTTATTACCCTGGTAATTTAAACTTTTTCTGTTTCATAATCTCTAAGGCCCTATTCAAGGATCTATAAGATCTTAGAGCTATTGTATAAACTGCACAGATGAAACCGTAGCATAAAGCAATAGACATTTTAAATATTTAATAAGAAAAATTTTATAGTATCAAATTTTAATTGCTTTGCTAAAGTCCATGATATCCATGAATATGTCATCTTGATAACAGAAGTTTCATTAGTAGAAAATAAGTCAGATGACTTAAAGAAACTAAACATGACTTTATCCACTAAGCATTAAATTAGACTCTTGGATAGTCATAATTCCATTTTATACACTTTAAAAGCTGGATGTTAGCATTCCTCAATTGTAGATCTGTTGGCTAGCATTTAGCATGTACCACCACCATTATCAAACACACAAAAATGTGCTTTATAGCACAAATAAATAGATAATGAAATCTTTTCAGGTTGAGGCCCCTCACCCCCTCTGAAGAAACATCATCACAGTCAGATCACCAGGTACCTCAAAGAGTGGAAATTGTCTGTTGTCCTTCTCTGTTTTTATCAGTACTTAACAAGTTTCATGGGACCAGCACCTCATCTGGCAAGAGGTTGGATGTCCCTCCAGCACTAGCTTCTTACATAATCCACCAATAGTTTAGTTAGATCAATTAAATCTTGAAGTACATAGTCAATGCTCAGATCACTGATACAAGCAGCTAAGTCTGGATTTTCTTTTTAAACCTGACCTATAGAATAATACTAAAAGTATCCAATATCCTCAAACTAGAACTCTCGAAATGTAATTGTTGGTAATAATGGTTATATGTACCCTGGCTAAATTCTACTTCTGAGCTTTAGCTTCAGTCATCTTTGGAATGTATAGTGCATTTCATAATTTGTTTTTTAAATCTATATATAATAAGTCTTTTTAACCTTATAATCAAATTCATAATTCAAAAAGTTTTAAATTTAGCTATAAAGAAGTCTGGATAGCATGTCCTACCTACATTTATCACTTTTAAGATAGGACTGTTGGATAGTTTTTGCTACGTTTTCAGTTCTTTAGACCACAAAGAGTAGTTCCAGATAATTTTTAGCAGCTAGGCTAACTACTATGTCCACACACAACACTTTCCCTTCCCTCTCCCTTGCATACATGTCTGTTCATTCTTTTATGGTGTTGATCATACTACAAAATGTATTCATTCCTTCTTGGAGTTGTTGGCATCCAAAGAAGACTGTTGGGCCTATGATTCAATGTATCCCTGAAAGCTTCAATTCCTCTATTCCAAAGTAAGTTTTTAAAAATGTACTATTTTGTGGAAGAACACAAAATACTTTTTTTACCCAGTCTGTATATACAGTATTAGAAATTAAATTATAAAAAAGTGAACTCCCCTTTTAATTTAAGCAGATAAATAATTTCCCATTTGTTTTCAGTAATTTTTACTATTTGGCTGGTCTCTGTTTTTTGTATCTTTAAAAATACTTCTAAGACTCTTAAATACCTGGTTTGAGTACTTTGGGCATTATGTATTTAGAATAATTATGAATTGTAGAATACAGGATCCCTATCTTGTTTTCAGAGGTGCTGGATTTGGCTTTTTTGTAGCTCTAGCATTGACTCTCAGGCTAGGTTTATACTTCTAGAGAATCAGAAGTTAAAGGAGTATGATTGAATCAATAGTCATGAATATCCCACATCAGATAATCCAGATCTGGAAAGAGCATTAAGCTTCATGTGGTATAAATGTACACATGCCTTTACACAGATAACTGTGCATACAGGGAAAGTTGAAATAGTCTTAGGCTACCTATTTTTGCTGTTTTTATTCATCCATTGACCCCTCCTCCTCTATGGCATGCTTCGTAAAGGACAGAATATCATTTCTATTTCTGAAATGAGCTCTACAGATGTTTAAGCAGCTACGATATAGTTGTGCGTACGTGTGTTACATGTGTCCAGACCAGTATAGTCATCTAATTCCTCAATGCCTAACAGTGCAAATGAAGATTGTCCAAATGGCATCATCACTATTATTATCGTGGGTTAGCTCTAGAATTAAAATCTTCTGCTTTGAAGTGTGATGCTTCTTTGAGATTAGGGCCTTTGGTGTTTTTGATATATTTTGTATTTTAATTTATCAGTTCATCTGAGACAGCCAGAGAAGATTCTCTAGAATTTTATGAAGACTATTTCCAATAATTGCCTTATTACAGACTCATTGAATGTTTTTACTTATATTGTGCTTTATGTTCGTACACTTACAATGTAGTTAGTTGACTTAAATTATTAAGCAAAACCAAAAAGATTCCTAGTGCCTTTATCGCATAAGCCATGATTTCTGACCTCAGTTCAAATTCTGTTATCACTGACAGAAGCTCACAGACCTCTGCTAAGAAGGGGTTAAATTCTTTCATTAAATATGTTTATGAGGGGCCACGGCTATGCTGCCTGTACTGCTTTTTTTTTTTTTACTTTCTAGTTCACTAATCAAATGTATGTTAGATTGATTATTGTAAAAGTATAAACCATAGAAAATTTGACAAGATAGATGTGTAAATTACCCTTCTGACAGAACTAATGATGCACTCCGAGCACCTTCTGTTTTCTAGCGCTTGGTGAGCGACTTCATTAAATATGCAATGGCTGTTGGGTGGCTTCTCAAATGATGGTTCAGTTCCTTGTGGAATTGCATTATTACTAGAGGTGTAAAACCAGGCAGACAAGCTAGCTTTTGGGTATCCTGCTGAGGTTCTAATGTGCTCCATCTTGTTGGAGCAGTTGTTTGCAGTCTTTTCAGGACAATTAGATCCATAACCACAGGACACATTCAGTGAAACTATATTACAGATAACAGTGGAGACTGGCATTGACTGCTCTTTACCCATCTCTCTTGAGCTCCCTCAGTGTGGGTGACTTATAATAATGCCACTTCTACCACTCACAGAGTAGTTTTTGTTTGTTTGTTTGTTTTTTAATCCTTTGAAGCAAATCTGGAAACAACTGATTGGTAACTTTTTTAAAGTTCTTAAAAATCAGGCTATTTGAAGTGAAAAGAGTTTATAGATTTTAATCCGTATGCAGGTGAGAAAACTGAGGCCAAAGTGTTGTGGTGGGTTGTCCCTTAGGGAAATAGATAGTAGGAGGACATGGTAGAACATCTTTTAGGTGGTAGAGATTACATGAATAGAAATTTGTACTGTTTGGCTTCTAGTTTTAGAGCTCTTTTAAACAAAAATTCTTTTGAATTTAAGACTTTTTTCCTGCTGTACCTCGTTTTCCCCCATCTTAAGACCAACAGTGCTTTTCTTTTTAAATTTCTCGAAG